TTCCTTCCTTCCTTTCTTCCTTCCTTCCTTCCTTCCTTTGTACATTTATTTATATATTCATCCATGTATTCATTGATTTATTTATTCATTCATTCGTTCATTCATTGATTTACTATTTGTCTTTGTATTCAAGGGGGATGTATCTGTTCCCCTGGATGGACAGGAAAGGCATGTGAAAAAGGTAGGGAAGATAACAAAAAATGTAATCATATGATATTGCTGGTATTCCCAAGGGAGTGAAATAAGTTGATAATTTGATAGTTCCTTGACAAGTCTATCATATGCAAACAAAGAATTGCAGGACCATTTTTACAGACAAGTGTCATTTTCAAGAGTATCACATTTTTGTATAACGGCTCTGAGTGTCTATGAAAAGATACATGAATATATGAATACAACTCATCTTGCCAGGATCGGGTCGTACGAAGAGAGAAAAGTGCTATCCAAGGGATAAATCCTTATCTAGTGGATAAAGTGATGCTGTTATCCAATAAATCTATCCAATGGATAAAATTTATCTGCAGGGCCACTATCCACCCTTTGTGCAACCGGGGACTCCAGTACTTCAAAAATGCCATCCAAATACACATATTTGTCACTTCAAGAATGTTCTTCAATAAAGCAAGTCTAAGTATGATAAAAACAATGGGTGCCCTGTGGTGGTATCATACATGTCTTTAATGCCAGTTTGTGTTTTCTACTACAGCTTGTCCGACTGGTATGTTTGGTGTGAATTGCAGTTCACACTGTACATGTATCAATGGTGGCAAGTGTGATGCTGTGACTGGGGACTGCCTGTGTGCACCTGGCTGGATGGGAATACACTGTCAACTTAGTAAGTGAATTATATGCATTGTTGTCAAAAATAACTTTGGAATTTGATATGAAGATATTACTGGTCTGATATTTATTTTTGAAATTTTATATGTAGATACTGGGCTAATATTCATTCATTCATTCATTCATACAYCCATCCATTCATTCATATATTTGTGTCTGTGTTTGTTAGTTCGTTTGTTCATTAATTTATTTTCTTTATTTTCTTTTTCTGGCCAAAAAAGCATATATAGAATATCACCTATTCTTTGATTGCACTTTATGTCATCGCAGCCTTTCTGGGAAGCATTTTTGCCATTTAACAAAAGATTTCTTATTAGCATCCATTGTTAAGGGCACCACAATGGCTGCCATGCTTTTCTCTTTTATCTCTCRTGGGAATGCCTATAACCCATCAATTACAGTCACTGCTGTAACTAGAATTTTAGAATAATAAGCAATAAATTGGATGATGTTGAGCAAAATATCATGATTTGTTAGTTTGTTAGTAAGTAATTTATATTTGCGGACACAGAAAGCAGAGGGAAAAAATTGTTGCAAGACACTCTCAATAATGATATTTTTGTGATAACCGAGTTCAAAAATTGTTTTATCAATCAAATCATATTTTCCATTTTTCTTTTTGTGCTTTGGTTGTTTTTGCTATCTATCAAACATACCACAGGGAAGCGAACCACATCGACAAATTCAATGTTACTGCACATGAGCATAGCTTTATTCATAGCAAAATGGCTTTGCAACATAATGAGCATAAGCAGAATATTATTTGTATGCAGTTATTTGCAGTTATGTCGGCCAATCAAAACGACGAAAAAACAATTCAAATGATAAATTMTTTTATTTTTTAGAATGCCCACCAGGAAAGTTTGGGATTGCATGTGAAGAAAAGTGTAACTGTAGCATGCCATGTGAATGTGATGCAGCTACAGGATTCTGTAATAATACCTTGAATGGACACTCAACAGATATGAACTACTGGAAAAATAATTCACGAAGCTGTAAGTAGTAAGAAGTAGTAAGTTGTAAGAAGCTGCAATTTTCATAAAAACATGCGAACTCTGTGTCTGCGAGCTGCACGCTGAATTTTGTTTTTGCTGCCTTCAATYAAACCTAATCAGTTGGTACCTTTTATATTTTTGACTGGCAGCAGCGAAAAACCAAATTTCAGTGTGCAGCTCGCAGACAAAGAGCTTGCATGTTTATGAAAATTATTGCAGTAACCCATGAAATAAAAACATGTAATAGTCAAATACTGTAGACACAAAAGGAAAAAAGGAATGAGGGTCTACTAATGTGTATAAATCTTATATGTATTTCACTGGTTTAGTAACTTCACTCTACCTACCCTACCATACATAAGAAAAGCTTTAATCAAGCTTAATAATGTAATAATATAATAATTGATAATAATTTATCATTTATATTGCATCTGTTTCATTCAGATATGTTCACAAGCGCGTTACAATAATATAAATTTATATTTATTTATTCATTTATTTATTTATTTAAATTTATTTATATATTTATTTATTTAGTATGACCATGTCTTGTGAGTGGTTAGAGCAGTAAGCCTCTTACCAATGTACTGTACCTAAGGTTGATGCCCAAACTTAGTGTTTTGAGGTGCATGTCAGTTCTCTTACAGGGTGTATGTGTTTTTTGAGGGTTTTTTCCAACTTCTTCAGTTTTTCAGTAAAATTTTGCATGACATTTTACTTTCCATTTCTTTGGCACTTCAAAATTATTTTTGCCTGCTTTTTCAAAACCCCTGATAGGAATTGAACTCATGTGTTGCCTTCAAAGATAATGATCAGATAAGACCTGTCCAGCTAAATGCTAAATTCATTAATTAATATTATTATGATATTAATAAATTCATATTTTCTTTAGGGATAAAATGTTTGGATTCAAAATCAAGTGAATCACCAATAGAAGCTTTGAGTGAGAAAGAAGTTGAAATGAAAAATGAATACAGGTAACATATGAATTATTGGTATATTTATTTTTATGAAAAATCAATAAATGCTATATAACTTACATTATGATCTATTTGATGATGTTAGTGTAAACAACTAGATAGCCATCGTCATTTTCTCATGGGAAAGGATATATTTTTCTGCTGCTTTCTGATTGGCTCCACTACCTAAAGTTGGAATGTTTTGTTTTCATTCTATAATTCAATTGGTTCTCACTGCCTAAGTGGCCCTGGTTATATCAGTTGCATCGTAACGCATGATCTGATTGGCTAAAACACATGTTTATATGGAGGGAGTGATTTGATTGGTTCTCACTGCCTAAGTGGCCCTGGTTATATCAATTGCACTGTAACACATGATCTGATTAGCTAAAACACATGTTTATATGGAGGGAGTGATTTTATTTGGCCCATCCAAAAAAGTTTTATAATTAATTACTAACAGTCAAAGTAAAACACAAAAGACAATGCAATAGAATAAGTGGCTACTATTATATATAATGTATATTTTTTCACAGACCAAGACAGAGAGTAATTCGCATAAATATTAGAAAAATTAATAATTAAATATTAAAATGGCCGACACTGGGCGATTGTGTTAGTAGAGTTCATTTGCATAGACCCAAGATGATTGATGGCTTGGAAAAGACCAAAATCCAATCAGGGTTTTAAAACGACGGGTCGCGATGCAACAATTTTTGCTGTAATGGAACAGCCTAAACTATAGGGGCAACAACAACTAATAACAATCAGACAGGAAACCCCTTGCCTAAAATTGTGTGTTTTCCTATTAGTTGAGAAATAAAAGTGCACAGTGCTAAAAAGAAATAAAAAAACATGTGTCTGTGCAGTGTGTAGTTATAGTATATACAGCAGAACATAAAAGTGGCATTAGGAGAAGCAAGAACACTTTTCATGTCCTGCCAATCAATCCCCAAGTGGTATATAACTGCCTGTGTAATCAATCAATCAATCAATCAATCTTTATTGTGCTCAATAGTTTACAGATATAAATAATAATAGTTGAAATTGCAGGTGATAAGAGCACAGCCAATTAGAAATAGCAATAGCTAATCGAGCTAAGTGGCTGGGCCATGCGGAGAAAATCTATTTGTTGCTGAATGACTAAAGCAATGGATAAGACAAGACAAGACAAAAACAAAAGACGACAAGACAAGATAAGCCGGTGACAAGACAAGACATTAGACAAGACAAAATGGGCTGTGCTCCTATCAGCTGTACAGCACAGCAAGCAAGTTTATATTCTTTAATCAAAATAAAATACTAATTAAAATACTAAGTTGCTATTTTGGTTCATTACAATTTTTAATGAAAAATTCAATAAAGGATAATCATYACATTTTTAATTAATATCATCTTTGATTATTTATTTCTGCAGGACGTTATTGTATTGGTTCATTGGTGTTACCAGTTTGTGTGCCGTTAGCATGTTGGCCAATTTTATCTTGATATACATGCAGTGCAATATATCAGCAAAAAGAAAAAGAAGACGGCTYGAAGAACAAGAATTTTTATTTATTTCAGACGAAGAATTGTGATCAATTTGAGAGTACTATGAAACTTGAGGATTTTTTAGTACAAGGGTTTTTGTCTATGATTTATTGTATTAACTAAGATGGAAGAAACAACATACAAGAGATTGTAGTATTAAAACTATCTAGATTTTTGTATGATGAAAGTATAAAAATAGATTAAATACTATTTAAATAAAACCATATAATTTATTGGACTTAAATTTTCGAAACAGACTGCGTGATCTATGAATTTAGAGCCTCAAAATATTTGTAAAGTATCTAGCTGTCATACGATACACCCCTTGCAAACGATGTCAAAGGAGCTTGATTTGGAGGACAAAACAAAATAATTTCAATCTCATGAGAATTGGAAACCTATTGTTATTTCCTCCAAATTGAGCTGCATTTCTGCGTACTACAAGGGGCCTATTTGACATTTCCATGACAAATTATAGGCACCTACACTTAAAAACTTTGTGTTTTCCAACAATATGACATGTAAATAAACTACGATATGTATGACAAATTACTGGTATTTCTAAATAAAATATAAATATATTAGTAATATTAACAGAAATTAGTAGACATTCTAATAAATAATTGATAAATGATCTGTCTCTGAATTCTTCAAATTTTATGAAAGGGCCAGGAATAAAATGRTGAATGCCATGTTTATATTTAGTACAGTCTTGACTGTTAGTAGCTGGTCTATGAGAAATGTTATGTACCCTCTACCAATAAGGGTATTTACATGTACACCAATGCATTTTTCAAAGTTACATGACCAACTTAGCTAGTGATATCTGGGTTTTTTTTTGTTTTTGTTTTTTTTGTTTTTTTTTGGGGGGGGGCTAATGAATGGCATACCAATTTAGTTATCCTTCTTGGACATATTACCCACTTTAAAATCTAAAAACTTTCTAACCCTGAAACAATACAACCTGTGAGCTAATCAAGGTCAGGACATGGCTAAATTATAGATCAACCCCTGAAACAACCTCGGGGGGCTGTTCCAAGTCAGATTACAGCTAACTCACAGATCAAAGCCCTGAAACAACCTCTGGGCTGATCTTAGTCAGGGCATGGCTAACTCACAGATCAAACTCTAAAGCAAACAGGGCTGACCTAAGTTAGATGTCACCCTTTATTTCCACTTCAAATTAGGACCGTCTGCTGACTGATTAATCATTCCTACAGCTCTAATAGATAAAGCAATAGTCTACATTGAATGGGCAGAATTAGGGGCACAGCACTTTTTACTTTGGTTTGTCATGGCCAGTTACTCTAATGCCAAATCCAATAGAACTTTCAACAAAATTTACTCCTACCGAAACAGTTTAATCTAAAATGGCCTGGTTTTCAGATATAATATGTGTTAATATGTACTAAAAAATATTCTGAGCATTTGCTGGCTACTCTACTTCTCTTCGTGGATTGCTACGGGTTTTAGAACAATTTTTGGAGAATTTGCATCGATTTGACCCCCTCTGAAGACCATGATTCTTTGCGTTTAAACAAAAGATTGTTTTGAGGTGACGTCATAGTGAAATAGGGCAATTGTATAAAAGAGCAGGAAACTTTGACTTTTGAAAAATGGTACACCCACCCATCTTCCGGAAGAACCAAAAAGAGCAGGCAAAGTGGATAACCTACATCAGAAGACCGAGTTTTCCCCAACACTTCCAATTGGAATACATCATTTGTTTTTCAACTGGAAATTCTAGTTTTTCCTGGTAAATGGTAAGCAAAAGGTCTTACTACGTAGTACAGGTTTACAGGATGCTCTGTTAGCTTGGGTCCAGTCCTACTGCAAAATATTAGCTAATCCATCAAACATAATTAAACATATGTCAATGAGTAACAGGTGGAAATTTGCACACGTTTCCAAAAAAATATTTAAAACAATTATTAATTTTTAATATTAAAAATCATTTATATAAGCAATTCACCTTTATAATTCAATATTGTTGTTCTTTACTATCAAGTTTCCCTTTTCCTTTCAAAATCTGCGTCTCTTTAACCAGAAGTCAGTTAAACTTTGAGCTGTAAAAACTTTCGATTCAGATGAGTAAACGTGTGTACAAGAATTCTTTAAAACAATATTATTAGATCAATTCACTTTCAAATTCGATATTTTTGTTCTTTATATTAAACTCGAGTTCTCCTTTTCCTTTCGAAATTTAGCGTCTCTACGTGGAAGTGATCAGTTGGACTTTAAGCTGACTTCTCAGAAAGTCCACAGTTCTATCGATGAGTTGTGTTCTTAGAAGCAGTCCTGGCCCTCCACTGATCAACGCCATTAAAGACACGTAGTCATCAACAGTCAAATTATCGATAATATCCTTCATGTAGTCGTATAACAGCTGTATTTCATATGCATTAAGGTCTTTAATGATGTGCGAAACGGGCTTGAAATCTTCTGCTGTGTTGTATGCTAGTGCTCCACCAATCATGCCTCCGACCATCAACCCCGGAGGACCGAATACTAAACCTCCTAGAGTAGTTGTAATACCGGCCAATAGACCACCTTTGAGGCTTCCTTTGACGGTCGCTTTTAACTCTTCTTCGTCGGCCAAGACCGCTATTACTCGCTGTAAATCATATTGAGATATTGGCATTGTGATATACCCTCAATAATCGTCAAGTCGAAAGAAAATAACACTATAAAATGAATCATTTCACAAGACTTCACCAAAACAAATGTCGGCTGACGAAATGAGGAGGGGATTCCCGGAATCATGACCTCGAGGGCATGTCGAGAAGACGCAAAGCCGCTGGTCAAAGTTCCATTGTGTCATGTCGAAAACTTTATTTTTTTCGGTATTAATAATTCCTTTTTAAAGCTTGTTTTGGTTTAGACAACTAAACGAATCTCATTACCAACCTTCAATGTCATACTCAATCATCTATACGTATTACTATATTGAGAACTACCCGGTAGTCAGCTGGTAACTTCCCCGGAGCCCCGTTATGAGTCGTTATGACGTCCATAGACAGCAAAACACAGGGAATCATAAATTCTCAAAGTAACTTAGTAAAGTAAAAAATATATTTGCCTATCTTTTTGTATTATTATAAAAAATTGTTTTCTTAAATCATTGCTTCCATGATGATTTTTCTTTTTCTTTTTTTTTTTTTTTTTTTTTTTTNTTTTTTTTTTTTTTTTTTTTTTTTTTTTTTTTTTTTCTTCGTTAGTTTGCAAAAAGCCGTCATATATCTGGTGGAAGGTATAAATTCTGAATTACGTACACCTAGTCCGCCTTTTTTATTATTATCATTATATTATTTTGTATAAACATGCTAAACCGTCATCAAGTTCTTGTTCAAGACTCAAATAAGAAAAAGTGGCATCTGGAATTTATTTTTATTTCTTTTTTTATTAGTTTTGCTAGCGCTATATAAACGCTAAACAAAAATAGTGTGACCTAGCGTGGGAAAAAATACATTCCATTGGAATTTAATAGGTTTTTCTTATAAATTCTTCCAAAGCAAAATCATTTTGGGCAAAGGGTATTACGGAAAACTATGTATATTTACTTCCGTTTCTTTTTCATTTACAAACTTTTTTTGCACGTGCAGGACATGTTCCATGGTAACCAAACTCCCTCAGCAAGAATGCAAGCTTTAATCAAATGTTTTCTTGTTTTCATGAATACAAATTTATTACGATTGTTTGAAGCTGTTTTTAGATTACGTGTTTACAGTCCGTAAGCCTTCAATCAGAGAGCTTCAAAATTGAAATTTGGACAACAATTGACCGATTGAGCAAAGTTTACTATGAAAAGAGCCGAAAAGATTCTAACTACAGCTGTTATTCATAACTTTCTATCTTGTCTATGATATTTTTTCTCTTCATGTACTACAAGCAGTAAATAGAGCTTTGATAATACTATTATGATCATGACAAAACGAAATATTTTGAGGAAGTAAAATTGAATATTCTTATCACGCATTAAATAGATCTCCCAACTAAACATTAAAAATCCAGATGTTTATAAAAAGTTTTCAAAGAGATGAAAACAATAAGGGCAACAAAATATCATAACAAAAACTGAACTGGTCATAAGTTTACACGTTCTGTGTTACGACACCAACTATTCTCGCATGAAGTCGACATCAGATCAATACTAGAATATGATCAGGTTTTTGCAGCGTTCACTTTCCTACATCTTGATTTGATTTATTCCTGTAGACTCACCGTATCAGTAGATTGCTCGTACTTCAGTCATGCACTCCTTTTACTCACAGTTTTCACAAATCTTGTAATCATTAATTTCCTTCTTCAGTTGTCGATTAGCGTAAGCTTCATTTCTGTCTTCAAGTAACAGAATAATACATCCAAGAACCGCCTTCGTAATTCCCAATCCGAGGCCACCTTTGCATTCAACGCCACAAAGTTTTTGACTTTACAGTCGTCGACAAGATACCTCATGTACTGATATAAATGTTCTCTTTCTTCTTTGTTCATGTCGGTTAAAAACTGTTCCAAAGGTATCGCCACTCTCTTAGTAGTCCACGCAGCTACTGTACCTCCAACAACACCACCGACTACCACTCCGATCGGTCCTCCACAAACCCCACCGACTGTAGCACCTATCCCAGCAATAATTCCACCTTTCATTCGTCGATCACTCACAAGGATACGATAACGACTATCGCTGGTTAAGATAGCAAATAATGTGATAACGTCTTCAGGAGAAACAGGCATCTTGGCTGATGATGACGATCTTATCAAAGCAATCCTAGAGATCTTTGAATACTGAATGAACCTAGACTTGCGCTATGAAATATGGGATTTCCCTTTGATGTTTCGTTAGACGTTGTTTATTCTAGCTGCGTTTAACGTCATTTCCGGTTTAGCATAGAGTTACCCGTGTCATAACTTGCATTTAGACTTTCGGTGATTTTCCTTTGTTTCATGATAGCCTCTCCAGGAGTATCTCCAGGCGCTGACGACAAAGCAGGTCGCTGGAGGACTCTGGGTACAAGATTGATGAAAATCAAAAAAGTCTTGGGCGGAGGGAGGGGATGGGTCTTGGCGTTTTGATCATTTTTTTTATGTTCAGATCCAGCGCATCACTCTTGTATAAGTACATAACGTCAGTAGAACTGTACGATCGGGGAATTTATCCAACGAGCGAAAGTGAGCCCTTGAGTCAAAATGGAAGTATACTCGGGAGTTTTTAATTTAAAATAGTCAAATGAAAAACACAAAATAAAATTAGTTTYTACWMTACTCCAGTRTATGTCCATTATACTCATCTATTTCACTTGTTAATTTAGTTAACCCTTTTTTYCCCTCATTATTCTCTCCAAGAACTAGGRAGCTCATCTTGCCGGAGGTTACAATGTTTCATAGATTTTTTTGTGGCCAGCCGAATGTACTGTTACCAGCATGTATCATATAGAGTGCAAACAAAGACAACGAAAAGAAAATCGAAGAGTTGGCTTCCCCATGCATACTATCGCCTGTTGACGAATGAATCTCCGGGTTTGCTATTAAAATATATTAATTGGAGATCCTAAGATATTCTTCCCGTCAACCATTACTAGAATTTTAGACCAAATCATTATAAATGTGGGTATCAATGTCAGTTTGAAACTGTACGTGTCATCTTCCAAACGTCTTATCGGAAGTACCATAGACTCGCCAAACCGTGCTGTGGCTTTTATTCTGTCTGGCATGATTTTCATCTTTTCCCCAAACGAGTTCTTGATTTGGACAACAAACTCCAGAACCTGGCCTCCACGTGCGCGAATATTGCCTTTGATATCGACTAAATGGCCATCAATTAGTTGCCCAACAGAGCACTTACTATAATCAACAGGAGTAACGTCAACGATTTTAACACAATTTATGGACTTAAGAAACAAAKTTTCGTTAAACTCAAGTCTTGTTATCGCTTTTTGCCATGGAATGCATAGATCTTCAGGATAAGGTTTCTCAGACAGCTGTGACAAACGAGATGTAAGTTGTTTGGATAAGGACAGGACATYACTGCTRCCGCCATTTKTCAAKACTTTYTCTGTAAATTCAATGGCGCTTTTCAAGCCAGTCAGGTGCATTGTRAGACCATCTTCTTGTGCTRYAAGTTCTTTYATCTTTGTTGCTGCAATCTTTTTTGTGGTCTCTTTCAGACTTGCTCGTTTTTCTTCTAAAGCTYTAATTTGTTTRTCGATTAMGTTATCGATGTTTTCTTCGGTGGCTTTTGTTGWTTCCTCTACGTTTTCTTTCATCTTTTCGACTGACTTCARARMTGCCTCGATCTTGTTCTTGGTGTTGCTTGCTCTTTGTACTTCTGTTTTAAAGAGTTGYTTGYGTTGATCAASGACGTCYTCAACGAAGCTGAACTGATGRTCACGATGGTCARTAATGGTACAATCACGRCAAATTACCTCKTGGCAAGTATTGCAGAAAAGCTTCTTGACTTCTCCTTTGTGTTTCTCACAAAAAAGTTGTTTCTCTATRACTGGRATACCTGTGTCTTTCAGCTCATCCAGTGTTATCAGTTGATGGTCCTTCAGTGCTAGCAGACGCTGATGTGYTGTAAAACAAACGTTACACAAAAACATGCAGCAGTTGACACATCTTCCTTTGGCTGCTGCTTTGCTGTCACAGTTTTCGCACGTYAACTCAGTGTTGCCGCCATCTTTTTCRTCAGTCGAGTGGATGGAAAGAAGTGATAGAAGATTGTTGATCCAGAAGTTGACTTGCAGCTTCGTAACATCACCAGATATTATCTGTGGAAAATAAATATACATGCCTTTTATTTAAAATTTAAAGCTTTTCAACTGAGTTATTCCTTGGACAAACATATTTACAGACAGCCGAGGAATTCTGCTATGGCAAAAATCAAGTTAGTAATCAGAAACGACCTTACCTGGACTTCCTCTCGACATTCTGGACAGATAACAGACACTTTTCTTTTCCCTTTAGCCAGGAGATCTTGTAAGCATTGTCTACAGTACGTATGTAGACAGGGGAGAAGGCGTGGGTCCGAGAAGTGTTCCAAACAGATTGGACACGTGACCTGTTCACCAAGCCTTTCAGATAGCTTTGCRGCCATCCTTGGTGTTAATGAATTATGCTATAAAGGAAAATAAGAGGTTTGAAAGAAGTTAGGACCACTATGCGCACAAACTTAAATAACGCGCTGGCTTTATACAATACAAACAAAGTATACATTTTCTGAAAGCTGAGTAAACATAGTTTATGAAGAAATCTTCAAAATAAGATTTTTTTAATTGCTGTTCACATTATTGTCCTCGAAGCGAAATTTGACCATGCCTCAGTGAAAACGTTAGAGGACACGTACATTTTAAGCTATGTTTGCGAAAAATGTCTTAATGACTCAGGAGATAATAAGCTCAAAAGGGTGTCAAAACCTGGGGCCCAGATTTTTGGTATCTGTTTTATATCTCTCGCTATTTTTGATCAAAGTTCGGCGATTGCTTTCGGAGAGTTGTTTAGAGTAAAAAGCGTCATAACTTTGGAAAGAAATTAAATTTAAAAATGGGAGACACACTTTTTTGGATCATAAGTCACTTTTTAAA